TTTCTGTCACAGACTTGACTAAATGATCAAAGTCTCCCTTAATTTTCCAATGCTCTTTTCCAAATCCTGAGCCACGTTTCTGTTTGCATACTAATTCTTCTGTACTTCCTGGTTTTCCCACAATTTGTAAGTATGATTCTTTAAATCAAATCATTCCAGGTTAGAGCTTTAAAATTCCTCCATAGTATGTGGCCTTTTCAACAAATGGCACTGGGACAATTGGATATTCATATGCAGAAAAAATGAACATTTCACCTTATTCACAAAAATTAACTCCAGGAGAACCATAGACCTAAATGTTAGAGCTAAGCCACCAATAAGAAGGTGAAAAGACAAGGCACAGAATTGAAGAAAATATTTGTGAAACAAATGTCTGATAAAGGACTTGTATTCAAAAAAACTCTTACAACTTAATAACAAAACAACCCAGTTTTTAAAAAATGGGAAACATTAAACTTACACTTCTCATATGACTCAGTAATTCAACTCCTAGATATCTACTAAAGAGAAGTGAACTATATATCTATACAAAGACTTGTGTGTGAATGATCACAACAGCATTATTTATCAAAGCCCCAAATTGAAAACAATTAAAATGTTTATCAACTGGTGAACAGATAAATGAAATGTAGTATAGTCATACAATGGAATTCTACTCAGCAATAAAATGAGCCAACTACTGATATATGTAACAGCAAGGATGAACCTCAAAAGCATTACACTAGGGAAAGAAGCTAGACACAAAAGACTACTTAGGATAGAATTCTATTTATATGAAATTTCTAGCAGAGGCAAAATATAGATATGTAAAGCAGATCAATGGTTGTCTCGGGGTGGGAGCTGTTACTGATTGCCCACGGGCATAAAAAGGGAAAATGGAAATATTCTAAAACTGGATCATGGTGTTGGTTGCACAGCTGTTTAAGTTCAGTGACCTATATGAAGCGGGTGAATTCTACGGTTTATAAATTATATGCTGATAAAGCTGTTTAAAAAATTCTCCATAGTGTTTGGGGTATGACATAGCTCTCCAGTTTTTGCTTCTTCTCAGCCCAAGAAGATGACATAGTACTTTGTTCCTTCAGGAGTATTTCTCAAGCTTTAAGATGCATAAGTATCACCTGGGGATCTTGTTAAAATGCAGATTAGGATTCAGTAGTTCTATGGTGGGATCTCAGGTTTTGCATTTTTAACAAACTCCAGGCTCATGCTAATGCTGCTGGTCTGAGGACCACACTTTGATGGAAGGCCCTAGAACTTATTTATAACCCAGGCTGCATATTGGAATTTCCTGGGGGAGTTTTGAAAATAAAATTGATTCAGATCTCCACCTAGACATTAAATCCAAAAGCTCTTCAGGTGATTCTGATGTGCAGTCAGGATGAGAACCTTAAGAAAGTGGCATTCTTTTTACCATAATGGATCAATAATAAACTTCCTTCCGTACACTTCTCCCCCACTTCCATCCCACGAGTTAGCCTAATGACTAGAGCCTCCAAATGATGATCTGACCTTTTGGAGTAACTAGGATGCTTTAGTAAACTAGCTTTAACTACACTATTTAAAAAAATTTTTTATTGAAGGGTAGTTGATTTACAATGTTAGTTTCAGATGCACAGCAAAATGATTCAGATACACACACACACACACACACATACATGTATATATATATATATATTAGTTTCTTTCAGTATTT